TACGTAGCAAAAAAATACATCATGAACGTGGAATCAATTCTCTAACTTCATGTTTGCCAACTGTTCGTTTCAAATATAATAATTAACTAGTGACGAAATAAATTCTACTTTAATATTGTAAATAATTTCTCAATTTAATAAATAACAACTTTAAAAAAAATTATCAAGTTTAATGTTATAATAATTTATAAAAATAATACATTTTATTAATTTAATTCAATAAATAAAAATTAAGAAAATTTATCTTATTGCAATAAATTGCACGAGATTTAAAATTATGATATTATTTACCATCCTAAATTTAAAAATTGATACATTTTTTAACTAAATTAATTATTTTTTAATTAAATTGATTTAACTTTTCATTTCTTGAAAAACAAACATTCTATTGCCGAGTTTATATCTTTAAAATTTTTTAAATTAAGTTTTTTTGCTTCCTTATGTATCTTTATGTTTTTCGACGTCAGAAATCCAAAAATGACATTTTTAAAAAATGTTCCGTGTGTGTGTATGTGTATATATACACACAGTTTTCGTGATATTTAAGAAAATGTATTGTATATATACACTACATTTTCTTAAATATCACGAAAACTATAAGAGCTAAAGGGATAATTTTTTAAAAATTGTAGTTCTCACTGGCGGACAAATAATGTGTACTTTGAGCCATATTAATAAAGATTGACTATTATTTTTTTGAATTCAAAAATTTTTTTAAAATCGTTTTTTGACCATAATTTTAAAAAAATGTTAGGACACCTATAAATATTTTTCTTTAATTTTGTAAAGTTTTTTAAGACGCATCTTTTGAGCTATTAGCGAACATTATACTGATATTTTATCCAGAGATATTAACATTTTAAAATTGAAAATTTTTAAAAATTCACCATTTTTGCATTATTTATTAAAAAAAAATCTTCATGTATCTTTAAAAATATTATGAACAACTTGGAGAAAATTTAAAAAACGACTCAATTGATCTATTATTGAACCTTTTATTGTAAAATATTACGAAGTCATTGATGTTAAAAATCTATCTCTCCAAACGCCCAAAAAGTACAACTTACCACCGTTTTAAAATTATTATAATACTAAATAAGTTACCATAAAGTGATCACAAAAAATCTCCACGTGGAAGCAAAGTGTTCATTTCATGAACACAAATAGTTCATACTTTTACTTGGCAGCGGTTTTTCCCATTTTAGACAATGTCTAATAGAAACTTTTAATTCTATGAAAAAGATAATAAATATAAATTCAATAAATATTTAATTATTAATGTAAAAAAGAAAAGTAAATAGTTTATCATCATTTTTGGATAAAGTTGAATTATTTTGTTGTTTTTTTCTAAGGATAGAAATTGAAAATAAATGTCTCCTTTTTTTCGTTATTATTATTATATTTTATATAGTTTATAATTATTAATTATAAACAAATTTAAGGTTTTAATTAAATGTATTTAGAAATAAAAGTGTTAATATAGGGGAAGGTGGGGTAATGGGAGCTTTTAAATTTCAAGTACACAGAGACTTTGAATTTCGTGGAAATAACTCGGAAGACTTGAACAATCTTCCTGTATGTCATACGAAGATAAATGGTCACATTTTGGACAGATTTGCAGAAACTGCAAGGAAAAATCAAGTTTTCGAGTTTTTCTTCTTAAATAGAAAATATTTCCGGAGATCAAAGTAAATGGTTAAAAATTTATTCATTAAACTTTGTTTTGTGATTTTATTAGAGATAAACATGTGTAGATTTAGATCATGAATAAAAATGGAGGTAATAATTAAATTTATTTATGTTTTTCTTCTTTTTTTCAAATTGTGACCTGTGAAAATTCTTTGGGGTAATGGGAAAATTGTGCCAGCCAGCAGAGTTTCGTTACCTAGATATAGCTTTTCTTATTTTTTTTAAAATTAAACAAAATTCATTTATAAAATTAAATATTGTTGCATATTTAATTGCTAAGAATCAATATTTGTGTTTTACTGTCTAAAATGTGTTATTATTGGTTATTCTAATACTAAAGAAGCTGTAGGTCTTTTTTATGTCTTAAATATTTTGTAAAATGTTAATCTGTTGAGAACTATTGACAAAATAAGAAAAATATCTAAAGAAAATAAAAATTGTAACATTTTATTGGAATTTCAAGTGAGAGCTCCCAATATCCCACAGGTGCTGTAATGGGAGAAAATGCATTTTTTTTGCAAACAAACTTTTTTGTTCTTAATTTTTAATTAATTATAATTAAACATAAATAACAAAAGGAATAAAAAATTACCAAAACAATATTTTATTATAACAATAAGTTGGTTTTTTTAAACATTGTCCTTAAGGGGCTCCAATTCCACACAGGCACACAAGAAAAGTTGTTTGTTTCTTAAACTAGAAATACTATTCCTATAATATTTTGGCCCGCTGAAAACGAATATGAAGTCAGAATTGCTTCATCACCCTCGGATTTTTTTTAAATCGATAAAACCACCCTTAACCGTCAAATTCAAACTTTGGAGATAAAAAATTAAATAACAGATTTCTTTAATAAACAGAACCTTAAACCTTACCTTATTTTTGTTCCGCTAACTCAAAAACAAAACCAGAACTAATCAAGCGCCCTCTGATTTTTTTAATTAAAAAAAAACACCCTTAATCGGACAAATTCAAACTTCGGAGATAAAAAAATTAAATAACAAATGTTTTTTTGTAAACAAAACCTTACACCTACGTATTTTTGCTTTACTAACACAAAAAAATGCCAAAACTAATCCAGTACCCTCTGAATTGCTATTCAATCAAAAAAACTTCCCTTTATCGGACAAATTCAAATTTAGAAGTATTACAAAAGTAGCAATCTTTTTGGCATGATGGTTTCTTCCGTAATATAGGTACAGAAAATTTTATTTGTACTTGCTTTCGATTTTTCTCCCAACGAAATAGCTAAGTTTGAATTTGTACGATTAAAGTTGGTTTCTTTCGTTTTAAAAAAATCTGAGTGTGCAGGATCAGTTCTGATTTTATTTTTGTGTTAGTAGTGCAAAAATACATAGGTGCAAGGTTCTGTTTATTAAAAAAATCTGTTATTTAATTTTTTTATCTCCTAAATTTGAATTGACGGTTAAGAGTGAATTTTTCGATTTAAAAAAAATCAGAGGGTGATGGAGCAATTCTGACTTCACATTCGTTTTCAGCAGACCAAAATACTATAGGAATGGTACGTTTAGTTCAAGAAACAAACAACTTTTTTGTGTGCCTGTTTTATCATTGCCTCGAATTGCCTTTTTTATAACTTTTGAGATTTGAAGTGTTACATCTCTTAAACCTATGCAAAAATTTAGTGAATTTAACAAATAAAGTTCATGTAATTTCTTTGATGTTTACAAACACTCATAAATGCAAAATCAGAAAATTTTTGAAAATTGTTTTCTCATATATTGGACTTCTGAATCACGGTCGAGGAACCTTTCTCTACTTTATAAATTAAAATCATCTTATTTGAAATATTAAAATAACATGTTTGGTTACTTGATAATACTTCTTTTAAACCTCTACTAAAAATTTTGTTGATTTATCTAATAAAGTACATTTTTTTGAAATTTACAAACTCCGATAACTGCATAACCAGAAAAATTTTGAAAATATGTGTTGTCATATATTGGTCTTGCGAAGTTTGATCCTGGAACCTACCACTGCGTTATAAATTAAAAATCATGTGAGTTTAAATTCTAAAATAATATTTTTAATTACTTAATAATATTTTTCTTAATACTCTACTAAAAATTTGGTTAATTTAACTGATTAAGAACTTGCAATTTCTTTGAAAATTACAAACTTAGAATACTTCAAACTCGGAAAATTTTTGAAAATTGTGTTGTCATACATTGGCCATTAGTAATTCGGTCATTGAACCTGACACTACATTATAAATTAAAATCATTTGATTTTATTTTCTAAAATAATTTATTTAATTACTTGGTAATGTATTTCTCTTAAAACTCTATCAAAAATTTAGTATTTTTAACAAGTAAAGAGTCATTTCTTTAAAATTTACAAACTCAGAATATTGCAAAATTGTTAAATTTTAAAAATTTTGTTGTCATATATCGGTCTTCCGTAGTTAATTTAACAAATAAAAAATTTGTAATTTCTTTGAAATTTGAAAACTCTGAATACTGTAAAATATTATAATTTTTAACTTTAGGACTGTCCTTGAACTTCAAGGAAATAAATTGTATATTTATTAGTCTATTTCTCTCAGCGTAGTGCAACTTTCTGATAGCTGTCTGAATGCTTTAATCTAATCGTTAAAAATGTGCTTGAACCTCATGATCCTAGGATGCCTGTAGGATTTCTGCCGTCTTGATGAAGAAAGTCGGTAATCGACATTTTTATCAAAAATGAGTTTTTTATATAACTGGATTTGTTATGAAAAAAGGAATCTAGCTGTAGTAATATTAGTTAAAAATATTGATTAATTTTGGAAATAATTAGCCTTTAATTATTACCCTACTTTGGCTAAATCATTCTCACAGAGTCTATACTTGCAGACAAAATAGTCGGCATTTGCTCTTACTGCTTCAAAATGATGACATATTTACGTACTTTCCTTGAAATTCGAATGCCGATAGGCAGTATCGCGAATACCGACTTTCTTCATTAGGACGGCAGATATCCTAAAATGACCGGTGATTTCAGGCAAGTATGAATTGATAAAGTAAAGCAGAGAAAGAGAACAATGAATTTAATGAAAAAGGTAATATAGAATAGGGAAAGGATCGATGAAAGTATTGGAAGAATAAAGAGCGGGGGTTGAGTTTGCGGTAATAAAAGTTTAAATAAAGTTGCTGAAAGGGAAGTGGTACATTAGAAAGAAATATTCATTTTAATACTTAACTTTACAACAAAATGCAAATAATAAAATGTAATATATATTTAAAGAATATAAGAACATAAAGTAAAACTTTTGTATAACACTTAATCCTAAAAAAAACTTGTTAATTTAAGCAACATTATTTATTTTTATTTTTAATGTAGTGATGTAGCCAAGATTTTATCGTTGCTGCACTCTTATTCTGTAGACATTCATGTTGTTGCTGAGCAATCAAAATTTGTTTTTTAGATGGCAGATACTCAGATTCAATGTTATCTTTGAAAAATTGCAACACTATTTGTTTTTCTTCATTAGTCCACCTGCTCCTCTTCACTTGCTTCTTAGCTGTCAAACCTACATTTAATGTGATTATTATAAATTAATTGAAAGTAAAGGTTTAAAGGATAAGTAAAAAAGAATTAAACATTTACAAAGATTTCAAAAAATTTAAAATTTTGTTTGCTAAAATTATTTTCCAGAGGCACGAAAATAAAAACTAATTATCATTATAGAGGTAAAACATTTTTTAAAACATTTTTTATCCTATCAGCAATGGATATTTCCTAGGATATTTCATCGTTCATAGGATTAGTTAAATATCCGGATGCTGTTAGGTTTTTTTAAATGACTATGTCAGTCCATTTAATTTTTAAAACAAAAAAATTATTTTTGTAATTTAATAAAAACTAAAACATAATTTGTAATCAGATCTTTAATTCATTTCAATGTTTCTATAGATACTATTAAAACAGAATTTAATTTTTAACTTTTACATTGGTGTAATTAGCAATTTTAAATATTTTTATATTATGATTATATTTTTAGATTTTCATTACTTTTAATTTCAAATTAATTGAACCTAGTCGAGTTGTCACCGAAAAAGATCAGAGAATTATGTTTCAATCTGGAGATTTGCTAAAACTGTTCTCACAAAAACCCCGAGAAAAACCCCTAACAAGAATTCAATTGATTTTTGAAATATTTACATATTGGATTAATCATTTTGAATTATAAACAACTATCTCTGTATTTGTCATCAGCAGTCCCAAAATACTCAAGAAACATGTTTTAAGGGTACTTTTTAATTTAGAATTCCAAAAAAATCTATTTTCTTTGCTTAAAAATGTTACTTAGTATCATAAAATTACTGTCCCAAAACGTTTTTTAAAAAATATATAAAAAAAACTGTAATCAAAAACTGTTTGATAATCCTGGCTCAATGTATTATTTTATGTTAACTTTAAACTCTTTTTTCTCGAAAACACATTTTACAAACTGGTGGCTTTTCTCGAAATTTGCTGAATCGATTTTAAAATACCGAAGATTATTCGATTCCTTATTTAAAAAACTAGAGAATAAACCTCTATTATTTCATATTTCTATCCCAATTTTTTTAATACGGGGGTAAATTGACCCTTAAACACAGTGTTTTTGAGAATTTTCGAGAAAAATGTACATAAAAATTAAAAAAAACCTTTTAAATACCGCGAAACATAAAAACAAACTATATTATCCACGATATTTAATAGCTTCTGAGAGTAATAAAATATCTAAGTAATTGTAAGTATCCCCAGGTATCTCCAGCACATTTCCGAAGAAAAACTCATTCGAGTACTGGCATCGAAAGAACACTTAAATGTTACATCTCTTCAAGAAGCTGTCAAAACCGAATCCATTCGTGGATCGAAAAGCAAGAAGACAATTTTGAATGCAGAGTTTGTCTTCAAAGGAAGATGTGTCGATTGCCCATTTCCAAGAAGTCGAAAAGAGTTACTCATTTAGGAGATATCGTTCACTTTGAACTATGTGGACTGTTTAGAATTTAAGTTTAATCAATTTTAATGTTTTATTTCATTGGATTGTTATTGCGTTTATCGTTTGGTTATATTTGCGTTTTGGGGTTCAATTACTTATGTTTGTAAGGAACAGGGTTCCTAAGTTTAATCGTCGCAGTGTCGGGAATGAGTAGGGATATTTCTGAAAATGGGATAAATCATTTTCATGACGAGATTGATTGTCGCGCATGTCTTAAATTTAGTGGTCAAGGACCCTTTGCGTGCGAAGCATGCGAAAAGGGAATTGCCAGAAAACTAATTAATTTTATATTCGCTTAGCGCAACTGACGAATTCGCCGGACACAACGCCCAATTGGGGTAATTTCTAAAAAACGAAATCCAAGATTTTATTGTAAGTCCGTGTGTTTGATATTATATTCATTTGATTAAATTCATTATAGCGGTTGGTGAATACGCACACATCACCTTGTGTTTCGTCGACGAAGCTTATCGTTTTCCTTTTGTGGAGCGAAATACTCACCTTTTATGTTATAACGCATTGTATCGTTTCCCTGGCATTTTTGGGTGGCGATTAGGAGAAATACATGACATATAATATTTGGCGTTGCTTTGGATTCATATTCGACACCGAATCTTGGAATTGGCCGTCCGAGAATTTCCGGAAGTTCGATATCTATTCGCCACGTGCAGCGGAAACTACCTGCGACACAATACTTTGAGACTTCTACTCATCTTGGTAGATATTATTTAATTACATAAAATATTTCGAAATAAGACGCAAGTCTGAAAACAATAAACTTGCCGTAGAAAATTAAACGGCGGGGGATTACCAAAAGACCGAGGGTAAGAAAAGAGTAGGTATCCACTCAGAGTTTTCGGATTTGTTTTGTTTTTTCTAGGCAAGGCTTACAACGGAAAAATCCATGGCAGTTTCAATCGAGTATTTGTTGAGCAAAGCTAAATAAATATCAACAAAAAAATAAATGTTTTTCTTTATAACACGGACTAATTTGTGCCGAATCAATGGGAAAGAAATTATACTTCGTAACATTTATTAATGACCCTTCAAAATGATCCGAGATCATCTTCCTTAGGCACAAAAACGAATCATTGAAAGAGTTTGATAACTACAGAGATTTCGTTAACACGCAAAAGAGACGGAAAATTAAGTTAAATTAACTACAATCTTCTGACAACGGGAATACAATAACGAAAATTTCTTGAAAACGCTACAAACTTTACATTCATAATTGATCGCCGACTAGTAAACTCTAAAAAAACTCATGCTTCAAACTAGAGTTTGAAGCATGGAATGGGAAGCCTTAGGATTTAAATTTCATGTATCCTGTACAAATACGGAATTGGAAATCCTATAGGATTCGTGGATTCAGACTGGGCTGGATCAACAAGGCTAGAATAAGGAGGAATAACTCTAGTGGTGGGGGTAAGCGAACGTTGAAGCAATGTATGAGCCCAATGGAGATGGCAAGTATTTGCGCAGTAGACCAAATTAGGTCATCTCATTACCAAACAAAGTAACATAACCTAAATGCATTCACACATGTATGCGCGGAAGTTTCACTTTTTCTCTACTGCGCAAACCACGCAATCCTTTATTGCCCTCAGCATTTGCTTCACCCCCAGTACTGCAGTTATTCCTCTTTATTCTAGTCTATTTGAGCTGGATCAATCGATGATAAACGGTCTTTTACCGGCTACGCCTTTTTGATGGGAGATGGTGCGATAGTCTGGGATTCGAGAAAACAACGTGCCGTAGCTCGACGAGAGGCCGAGTACATGGCCTTGCGTGACGCAACCAAGGAAAATTTATACCTTCGTCTTTTTTTACTGCAATTTGGTGAAGGACATATACAATGAATCAAATTGCACATTGATAACATCAGTGCACAGAAACTGGCCTTTGGGCAAACCGAAAAATGAACGATGTATGAATACTTTAGGACTATTAAAAATGTGAAGTGTACTCTTTCATTGATTTTTTATTTTACATGGTTGTATCGAGGGGAAGTATTTGAAATTTAGTAGGGGAGAGTGGAGAGTTGTGCCTCATGGGGAGTCGTACTTCACTTTAATTTTTTTATTACGGCAATTAATATGACAAATTTCAACTATTCTTATATCCTTTTCTCTTTAAGAACTAACTTTTTAAGTGGTGACCGTCATTTTTGCAAGCATTTTTCGTATCTTTCCAGATAGTGAGTAAAAATTTGTTTCTAAAAGTTTTTTTGGCTCTTAATGTTTAGATCATTTCCACTAATTTTTTCAAAGTGATTACAATGTTTAGTGCATAAAAATTAGCTGTCTTTAATAACTTTCCGACGTACAAATAAAATTTGCATAAACATTCAATATATTAATTATTATTATTACTAGTAACACACGCGCGCGCAAATGCAAGTTACCAACCTTGTCAACCGAAATAGTAGTTATGTTTTTCAAAATTGTGTTTATTGATATTCGTTTGGCTAAAATAAAACCTTATTGGAACCGGATTGAAGCCTGGAAAAATCTTAAATCAAGTATGTGAAGAGAGCCATTGAGCAAGTCTGAGATGTGTCTTAGAGGTAGCTTTAAAAAAGGAAGTCCTATTTTAAAACTGGATAGTAAAATTAGAGTTTGCGCGAATTATAAAGTAATGGTAAATAAAGATTTAGAGGATGTTAAGAATCCATTACCGAGAATAGAGGAATTATTCGCAGCACTTCAAGGAGATTAACATTTTACGGTTTTAGATATGTCGCGTGCGTACAATCAATTGAAATTATCCGAAAGCACACGATTAATGTTAGCATGGAGTATACACCGAGGTATTTATGTGATGAATATATTACCTTTTGGTACAAAACAAGCGGTAGCAATTTTTCAGCAGGTTATGAAAAAAATTTTGCAGGGTTTAAATATGGTAAAATTTTTTTTGATGATATTGTTACGCGCAAAACTGCAAAAGAATACATTGAAAATTTGATCGAAGTGTTAAAAAGATTAAGCTGGATTAACCCTATCGTGCCACCGGGAAACCAACCAGACGGATTTTGTTGAAACTTGTTACTCAGAGGTTATCGTGGTAGCTGCTTCCGAATCCAATGTTAGTTTTTCAAAATTAAAAACGGCGAATCTAATATGGCAACATTTTATAAAAAAAAGCTTAGATTTGCTTAAAAATTGGTACATGAGTGTTTTCATGGCCGCTAATTACGAATCCGATGGTAGTTATTTAAAATCCAAAATGGCGGATCCAATATGGAAGAATTTTTTTAAAATTGCTTTGATTTGCTTAAAACTTCAAACTCGGGGGTTTTCGGGGTCGCTGATTACGAATCGGACGTTAGTTTTTTAAAGTCCAAAATAGCGGATCCAATATGGCGGAATATTTTAAAAAATGACTTAGATTTTCTTAAAAATTCGAAATCGGGGGTTTTCGGGGTCGCTGATTACGAATCGGACGTTAGTTTTTTAAAGTCCAAAATAGCGGATCCAATATGGCGGAATATTTTAAAAAATGACTTAGATTTTCTTAAAAATTCGAAATCGGGGGTTTTCGGGGTCGCTGATTACGAATCCAATATTAGATTTTTTAAATTCAATATAGCGAAATTATTTTTAAAAATTGCTTGGATTTGTTTAAAAATTCAAACTCGGGGGTTTTCGGGGTCGCTGATTACGAATTCGATGTTAGTTTATCAAAATACAAAATGGCAGATCCAATATGGCGCAATTTTAAAAAAAATTGCTTGGATTAGCTTAAAAATTCGTACTCGGGGGTTTTCGGGGTCGCTGATTACAAATCCGATGTTGGTTTTTCAAAATCCAAAATGGCGGATCCAATATGGCGCAAATTGTTTTAAAAATTGCTTGGATTTGTTTAATAATTCGAACTCGGGGGTTTTCGGGGTCCCTGATTACGAATCCGATGTTAGTCCCCTATTTAATAAATGTTTGTCTATTTAATTATTGCCCTGAGTTATTACAAATATTATAGTAAAAAATGAACACTTTGTCATTTATGATAAGAATGTAAAAATAAAAAAATGGGTATATAATATAAGAAACAGCCTGAAATTTCCAATTTGTATAGATAAATAATAATTAATAATTTGCATACATAACAATACATACCTTTGTCTTTTGTAGCTTTTGAGTTCTTTAATTGTATTTGGCTACAATCTTTATCATCAGAACTCTTAAAAATTTTATGTTTTTGCTGCACTTGACTAGACATATCAGTTTCGTTTAAAAAATCACTAGCATCTCTCTTCTTATTTTGACCTATAAAGAAAGATTTATTCCAGAATAATTAAATGTTAATAACAAAATTATATTAATTTTAAAATTAAAGGCTCTTTTACCTAATATTTACACTTAGGATCAGTTTCACCAACTCCTGTTAAAAGTTAATCAGCGATTAAATCCCTAACCGACCAATCATGAGCGGTTAAATTGGCTTTAATCGACGATTAACTTTTAACCGGAGTTGGTGAAACTGGCCCTTAGAGTTTTAAAATGATGAATGACAATAGAGGATGAAAAGTATAATTTTTAATGTGCTTAAGAGTACAAAAGGTCAAATCCAGAAAGAGGTATAAGGGACTTAGGAAGGTAATTAAATTATAAAGAGGACTGAATATAGTATTTAGGAAAATGAAAATAGGTATCAGGAAAATCTTTTAAAATTTCTTTAAATAAACTGTAGAGGAATCAAATGTCGATCAGTTTTAAAGAGAATTGAAAAGAATTCAAGCTTCGAACAGGACTTTATATGTCTAGAAATAATTTAAAATTTAGATTTTTGAAACTGAAAAAACTAAAAAATTGATGTCATTAAATTCAAATTTTATTTTAATAATTATAAATGAAAATGGATGAGAAATTTTCAAAATCAGTTAAGCCAAAAAAATATTTTAAAAAAATAATGCTATGTGCTCTTTCTATCAGTATTTATTCATGGACAATAAATTGTTTTTAATGAGTCTTTAGTGGATTTTAAATTTCTGAGTCAAATTTTAGTACAATTAAATTACAAATTTTAATACTGGTATTCAAAAAATAAAATTATTGTTTTTGATATATTTACCTGAATCTGAAGATTGAGCGTCCTTTAGGACATTTGATATTTTAATTATATCAATCGCCACAGTAGGTTGTTGGTAATATTCTTTGTGGATTTTCAAATCATGGCCCATGAAGTTTGCAACTTGAGAAATTTGAGACTCTGAACACTTTGTGGCACAAGTTGTTGCCAAGTGTTTCCGAAGAGTTGTGCCTCTTAGTGTGTCTGGTTTTTCTGCTCCACACAGATTCGAAAATTTTCTCAAAAGTTCACAAGCTTCTAAGGATTGACATCTGTCCCCGTCTAAGCTGGGCACAGCACAGCGAAAAAATATGTATTTTTCTTATTAATTCCTGCTTTTTGACGATTTTCTTTTAGAAAAGCCATGCACTCTAAATTCTCTTGACAGAGTAATACGGGTACTGGACGATGTTTTTTACCTCGAATTAGTAGACGTTTGTACTCTTGTGCAGATTTCTTATCTTCTTCAGGTAAAGCTTTATATGTATCATCGTTTTCATTTATTTCTTGACGATTCTCGTAGTCTTCTAAAGTAAGAAGTTGAATTTCACCTCGTCGTCTACGATTGAACACCATCAAGTAAATTAAAACAGCTTCATTCAAACGCTTCCATTCATTTATAGAAAACTCTTTTTTCAGTAAATCATACGCTGCATTGCGTTCCTGTTTTAAATAGGATGACAACTTGCTTATGTCTTTAATTTTAGGAAGTATTACCGTTTTTTGCCTCTTCATGTCAATTTGAGTTTCTGTCACATTCCTATTAATGTAAATACCAAACTTTGTATCAAATACAACCATAAATTCCTCGACTAAGCCTTTCTTTTCTTTGTCCATCATGATGATATATTCATATTTTAAAATTTGACTGCATTTTTTAAGTGCAGTTCCTACTGCAAAAGCTGTACTTGGAGCTCCATATTTTTGAGTTCTTTCATTAAATCGTGATATAATATTTACAGCCATTAATACTTTTTCAAAAAGAGTTGGATGGAAGGCGGAAGCTAAATCATCAACATTTTGATCGACTTTTCTTAACGCAAGAAGAAATCTTCCTAGCAATCGTAATTGAGATCTTATCATGTTGTCTTGATGCGGTAATTTGTGTTTAATACATAGCAGATTTCCATAAAGGATAATTAGTCTATCGTATCTAATAACATTCGTAACTAAGTCGTTTTTTCTTAAGACAGGGAGTATTTCCTGCCTCATTTTTAAGCTCGCGTCCTTGTGAACACGGCCAATTTTTCGACTAGCTTTTTGTAGCAAAGTTCGTGTTCTTACAAATTTAGACTCTGAACAATCGGCATAATGATGCCGAATATTGTTTTGACTATAAAACCCAGAACATTTTGGACAATTGATCATTTCTTCAGCCATTCTTTCTTTACCAACTTGAGATCTTCGAACAGTGATTAAAAATCCCTGATTCAAATTACTGTCAGTGTTGTGAAGAAAATCTCCTTTTTTCGAACTTTTTCAATCGCTTTTCTCCTCTCTTCAGTACCTTTCTTTAATGACATAAAATTCTGAACTAATTTTTCATTAGAATGCTGTCTCTCTAAATGACGTGCAATTGACAACTGCATTGTCTTACAATATAAACAAAAATGAGATTTGGACTTTCCACTTTTACCCTTTGATGAAAGAACTTTTAAATTAGTTGGAGATATTGATGATTTTCCAGGAACCGCATATAACAATGAGAAACTAGATGAACTTATATTTGATTCTTCAACAGTACTTTTGTTAGTTGAGTTGATGGTATCTTCATAATTTTCCATTCCGTTTACTTCTTCATCATCGGATTCATCATCAGATTCACCGTCAGATTGTTCATTCCTTTGAGGTAAGTAATCCACATCGCGGAGATCATCATCATCGTCGTTATCGTCTTCAGGAAGTGGAATAAATTCCTCAGCCTCTTCTAATTCACAATTGTCAAGATTATTTTTCGAATTAGGCAATTGAATATCTTGCAATAATTTATTATCATCATTAGTTGATGGAACTGTTACGATTTTCACTCCAGGAGGAAAAACAATCATATCAATGATTTTTGGTTTATTGAGATTAGAACTTTTTGAATTATCAGATATTATTGTATATGTATCATTTCCACTGTTTTTGTCGCTATTCAAATTACATGTTTCGATATCTAAAACTATTGTGCTATCAACCAAATCAACATTATTTCTGTTTATGAGTTCTAAATAATGCTCATCTTCGAAAATGAACTCACAATTTTCAATGTTTACATCGTCGAGAGTGTGAACTTCTTCACTAACGTTTTTTTCTTCTAAATTTTCCTTAAAAATTTCTTTAGAAGTGATTAAAGAAAAAATAGTCTCTTCTGCATCAGTTGCTTGGTCGACGATTCTACAATCTTCTGAAAAATTTTCTTCGGCGAAATCAGTTAAATAATCTGCATTATTTTTTTCAGATTTATGCGTCACAGGAATATCAATTTCGAGATCTTTATTTATAAAGTCAATTTCATTTTCATTAATGATTGCATCAATTTCTTTTTTTTCAGGTACAAGGTTAATGGATCGACAATGTTCGAAGGAGTTCTGTACTGAAAAATTAGTGAAAAAATCTTTATTATTTTGTTCAAGATTATTTTTGAGGTCATTAGTTTCGATATTATCAGTTTTAACTTGAACTTCATTTTCATCACTATTTATTTCAACTTTTTTTTTCTCCGAATCCTGGATAATGGACTCAGTGACAATATCTCCATTATTTTGTTTCAGAATGTGTGTGCGTTGAGTAAGAATTTTGATATTATTTTTAACTTGAACTTTGTTTTTATTACGGATTACATCAACCTTTTTTTCTTCAGGAACTATGTTCAAAAGTTTACAATCCTTCCCAGAATCCTGCTCGGTAGAATTAGAGATAGAATTTCTATAACCTTTTTCAGGTTGATGAATCATATGAGCATCAATTTTCATATCTTTATTTATAACATCAACTTTATTCTCAATACTGATTACATTAATTTCTTTTTTTCCAGTTAAAAGGTCCATGGATAAAAAATCTTCCAAAGAGTTCTGCGCGACGACATTAGTGATAAAATTTCCAGTACTTTGTTCAGTTTGATGTTTTAGATCAGTAATACTTTCGATATCATTGCTTTTAACTTGAACTTTATTTTTTCCACTTATTTGATCATCATTCTTTTCTTTTCTAGGTAGTTCGTTGATAAATCTGCAATCTTCTAAAGAACTCCGCTCAGCGGAAATATTTGTCACAAAATTTATTTTAGGAATGTCTGACGGTTCTTTCAAGAGAGTACAAATTTTTAAATGTTTTTCTTGAATTTTATCAATGCTTTTGTTTATTTCAGGTGGATGTGTCAGGTGAGTAAAAGCTTCGATATTAATATTTTTATCTAGACCTTTTTTTTCATTATTATTTACATCAACTTTTTTCTCATTAGGTACTATCTTCAAAAATCTGCAATCCTGCGAAGAATCCTGCGCGGCGGAATCAGTGATAAAATTTTCATTACCTTTTTCAGGTTGATAAATCAGATGAGTATCAATTTCGAGATTTTTATTTGTACTGTCTACTTCATTTTTATTACTGGTTACATCGAATTCATTCTTTCCAGTTACAGCGTCGATGGATCGACAATCTACCAAAGATATCTGCACGGCGACATTTTTGTTAAAATTTCCATTATTTTGTTTAGGATGATGTGTCAGATCAGCAATAACTTTGATATCATTATTTTTAACTTGAACATTATTTTTTTTACTTATAAGAACATCAATTTTTTCTTTTTTAGTTAGTTGGTCGATAAATTTGCAATCTGTTGAAGAATTCTGCTCAGCAGAAATATTTGTTAAAAAATTTATTTTAGATATGTTTGACGTTTCTGTCAAGGGAGTATGCATTTTTAGATGTTTTTCTTGAATATGAACAATGTTTTTATTAATAATTTTATCATTATTATTTTCTTTTTCAGATGTTTGTCCAATGAATATATGAGCTTTAGAAGATTTTTGCTCATTTAAAGTTTTTGCAATATCTTTAAGATTCTGTAAAACAATTTTAATTTGTTTTTCTGGTTTCTCAATCTTTACATCTTTTATTTCTTCTTCAGAGGCTAGAGAATGTGGTGTTATCTGAGTGGAAATTTCTAGAAGTTTCGCTTTTGCTAGAGTGCAATTTTTCTGTTTTATAAGTTCAGATTCAATCTTCAGTTCTTCGTAAAAATTAGAAATGTTCGAATTACGTAATTTACGTCTTAGATTTGAAGCGGCTCTCTTAATACCTAAATAAATTTTAAATTAGTTTTCATATGTTGAATTAAAATACAATTAAACAAACTAATAAATATTCTCTTTAGCTTCATCATATGTAATTAATTAAGGGGTCATATAACTTTATGCGCGTCAAAAAAGAGGAATTTTCAAAAAATTTGTTAGTTGTTTTAAAAATTCTTAAAACAAAGTTTGTTTTATTGAGCAGTACATATTTTTATGTACTTGTATACAAATTATTATTAAAAAATATTAATAATTGTGGAAACTGTGGACCTTGCACTAAAACACCTTTTTTGTTAGCTGTTTGTGGTAACTGCGATAAGTCAGAAAGAGTTTAACTAAAATTAAAACAAGGAGGTGGTCCTTCATGTTTATTTTAAAAACATTTTGCTTCCTCGTGTGAAGCAAAAAATTTTCTTCCTCGTGGAGGAAGCTATTAATTTCTCTAATCAATTGATTGATATAAAACATTTCGAGTTAAAAACTGATTTAAATGAATTAAATTTTTTTAAAAATTAAGAAAATTTTAATTCATTTTGGGTGTAACATATACTTTATATATACGAATCGATTCACTTCAATGCAAGGAATTCAATTATTTTATGTATTAACTTGAATTTAAAAAAACACTAAATTTTTTAGCTAAAACATGAATTTTTTATTTTTCAATTTTTATTACGTCTTAAAATTCAAATTAAATCTATATTTTATATATACCAATCGATTCGTTTTAATGTAGGGAATCAAATTATTTCATATATAAACTTGAATTTTAATAAACACAACATTTTTTAGCTAAAATGTAAATTTTTTATTTTTTATCTTTCATTCATTTTTTAAATTTCAATCTAATCTATACTTTATATAT